AGAGAGAGAGAGAGAGAGAGAGAGAGAGAGAGAGAGAGAGAGAGAGAGAGACGCATACACACAAATGCATACAAAACATAAATAACATTAAATAAATGAAAAATAAATTAACAAACAAACAAAGCATTCTCAATTCTTGTTGGCCCAATGAGTAAAAAGAGTCAACTAAAATGTGAATACATCTCATGTACAGTAGTGCAAGGGATTGATACTAAGAAACTCAATCAATCTGGTAGACTACTGCTTTAATTGATTTTTATTATTGTTGTTGCTTTTGTTTTTGAGACAGGGTTTCACTATGTAGTTCTGGCTTGCGGGGAACTTGGTATGTAGACCAGGCTGCCTTTAAACTCAGAAATTCACCAGCCTATGCCTCCTGAGACCTAGAATTAAAGGTGTGGATCACCATACCCAACTTAAGAGACATTTTTGTATGAGAGAGAGAGAGAGAGAGAGAGAGAGAGAGAGAGAGAGAGAGAGAGATTGGCAATTTAACTGTTGGCAAAGCACTTGGATAGAAAAGTGCTCTATTGAGCTACACACCAAGTCTTTTACATTTATTATTTGTGTGTGTGTATATGTGGGGGCACATATGTGTCAGCATGCAAATGTAGAGGTCAGAGAACAACTTGAAGGAGTCAGTTCTTGCCTTTTATCATGTGGGTCCTGGAGAGTGAACTCACTGAGCTATCCCAGTGACCCCCTGTTCTTCTGTTTGATATAAACCGATAAAAACAAAAGAGAGCAAGTTGTATAGTATGGAGCTGGGGAGAGAACTCAGTTGTTAAGAGTATTTGGTATACTTCAGAGATCCCAGGTTTGATTCCCAGCATATACATGGTGATTCACAACCATCTATAACTCAAGTCCTAGGGGATCCAATGCCCTTTTCTGACTTCTATGGCATCAAAATGTGCATGGTGCACATATATACATGCAGGAAAACCTATTAAACACAAAATAAAATTTAAAAATCTAATATTTTTAAAATAAAGATATTAGAGCTACATATTTTAAAAATTGAAGGGTCTAATTATTGACTTCATTTTTTTAATTTTTATAAAAGATCATATAAAAGTGTTCCTTATATTTGACCTCATACAATAATAAATTCTTCACCTGAATTAACAAATAAAGAACAGTAAGCCAGAAATATTATAGTTCCTTCTATCTAAAACATGAAGCAGAAAATGAAATTTTACTTAGGGCTTAAAATTCACAGATGGCTCTCATAGTAATCAGCAATGTATGCTTTGAGTTGTACACAATTTTTACGTAATAAAGTCAATAACATATACAATAGTAAATAAGTTAAATACTGGTGAGGTATCTAACTTATAAAACCAGTCCTTAATGAAACAATTGAAAACATAACTATGAGTCCTTGTTAACGATATTAATCCGAAAAGGAAAGAGCTGTATGAATGTCATACCGAAGAACACCCCCAGCATCCACCAGGTTCTTCTTCAGCATGGTGAAGGCTTTCTCTTGCTCCATTCTGATGATCTTCCTGTCAATCTGGGGGTCTGTAGGCACTCTATATTCAGGGAACTTCTGTACCTTTTTAATGTAAATCCTTTATGCAATACAAAGAAGAAACTGTTCATTATAATCTCAAGAAATACCTAACATCAATAAAGAACTCAAAGAGAAAAGTTAGAGAATACTGAATTTAGTATTCAGAAGCTTATAAAAGTTGTCATATTGCGTGCATGATACCTATAAAATTAACAATGATCACAAACTGAGTATAAATATCTAAATATAGATAATCCTTTTGAACCTTTTTCTCCTTCCCTGTCCTGGAAGCCATAATTTGCATTTGATTTATTTTACGGATCTTCTTCCAGGCTGATCGCCCTGAAACTCTCATTACCTAAATTCATTCATACAACAAAGACATGTAATTTTTTCTCTTTTTTTTCAAGACAGGGTTTCTCTGTATATCTCTGGCTGTCCTGGAACTCATTCTGTATACTAGGAAGACCTTGAGCTCACAGCAACCCACCTGCCTCTGCTCCATCCCCCCAGTACCGGGATTAAAGGTGAGCACCACTGCCTGGCCAATAACAACACATAATTAAGCCACTCATGGTAGCTTTAATTCCAGACAGGAGGATCTTTATGAGTTCAAGGCCAGCCTGATCTACATAGCAAGTTCCAGGACAGTCAGAGACTGTTTCCCAAAAAGAAAAAAAATTATATTTCTCTGTTGAAGAATCTCTCTGTATTTTCAGTCAAGCACAAACTACTTGATCACATTCTAGCTATCTCATGAGACCTTAAATTTAAAAAAAAAAAAAAAACTTTCCTGTTTTATGAGTATGGGTGATTTGACTGCATGCATGTTGTGTACCATGTGACTGCAGAGGTCAGAGGAGGGCTTTACAGTCCCGGGACCTACAGTCAGAGATACTTGTGAAACACCATGTTGGTGTTGGGAATTGAACCCAAGTTCTCAGTAAGACCAGTCAGTGCTCTAAAGTGTTGGGGTATCTTTCCAGTCTCCTAGAATTTTTAATACATTTTACTTACTTACTTATATTGTGTACTGTGTGCACACCTGTCTCTGTGCACTCATGCCACTTCTTTCTCTACCCTCGAGTGCTGAGATTACAGGTGTGCGTCTGTGTGTGTGTGTGTGTGTGTGTGTGTGTATGTGTGTGTCTGTGTCTGTGTGCGTGTGTGCACGTGCCTGAGGATATGTATGCGTATGACTTCTGGAACTGGTGTCACAGATGTTTGTGAGCCACCATGTGGGTGCTGGGTTCTCCACAAGAGCAGTTTACCACTGAACCATCTCTCTGGCCTCCACACAAGTCTTCTAAAACATGAGAATGCTTAAATTTGTGATATATGTAATGCTAAGATACAACTCTTCAGTTATCAACCGAGTCCAACCATAATATATTGCCTTTGTTTTGTTTGACGAAGGGTCCTTGTTGCTAAGGTTGAACTAATCTTGTAGGCTAAATTTGTAGGCTCAAATGACTCTTTCCCCTAACCTCCCAAGCACCCAGGATCACAGGTATGGGTAGCACATTCAGCATATATACTCTCTTCTTTTGAAGCGCTGCTGATTTGGCCTAGGGCTCTGTGCATGCTACACGCCTGAGCTATCTGTACCACTTTCCTATCCCCCAGCCCAATATGTCTTTAACATTTTTCATTTTACTAACAATTTTGAACATTTTCAATGTCTAAGAGAGTATAGAATATTAAGAAAAAAATCCTTCATTGATTCACATTTTTTAATCTCACCCAGAGCAATGACAACCTAGGTCTCTACCTAAAAATTACTATGGCTCTTATACATTGCTGGTATGAGTGTAAATTGGTAAAATCTCTTAGAAGCAATTTTTCTTGGTCAACATTTTAAAAATATATAACTTTTCCCTAACAATTACCATTATAGGCATTTATCCTACTTATAAACTGAAATGAGGTTATTGTTGTGGTTTTGATCTAGTACAGAATTTGTCACTAGGTATATTGGTAAACATCTGTAAGTCCCATAATTAAAGAGGCAGAGGCAGGAGGATGAGAAATTCAAGGCCGCCCTTGGCCACACAGTGTGTGTGAAGCTAGGCTGGTTGACATGAGATACTATCTCAAAAAACCAATGTTTTCATAGCTAACATATCTATCCATAGAGGATTAATTAAATGGTATGCTTTAAAATGGAATATTACACAGCTCTTTAAAAGAAAAATTACCCATATGCCTATATGAAGTCACTTTAAAGATACACTAGAAATGAAAACAGCAGAGGGTTTAGTGAGTCGTGCATGTCATATGAACACCAGTCAGCAATTTGGTGTCTGTGCATTAGATAGTGTGGTGGTCTGAATGTAACTGGCCCCCATAAGCTCAAAGGGAGTGGCACTATTAAGAGCTGTGGCTTTGTTGGAGTAGGTATGGCCTTGTTGGAGGAAGTGTGTATGTAGCATGAGGGCCGGCTTGTTGGGGTTTCCATCCCGCCCAGTACCCCAACAGCCGGCAAATCCCAAAGAGAAATTACACACGTTGGGCGCCATATGTAACATGAGGGCTGGCTTGTTGAGGTTTTTGTCCCACCCGGTACCCCAAAGCCGGCAACTCCCAAGGAAAATCACACACAGGACTCCATAAGGTTATAAACTGATTGGCCTATTAGGTCAGGCTACTTATTAGCTCTTATAAGTTATCTTAACCCATTATTTTTATCTATGTTAGCCATAATGGCTCCGTACCTTTCTCAGTTGGGCAAGTTACATGTTGTCTCTTTAGTGGTCTGCGCAGGAGTGGCGAGAGAGCTTCCTGTGTCCCAGAATACTCCCAGTCTCTTTGCTCCACCCCTACTTCCTGTCTGGCTTTCCCGCCTAAACTGCCTGCCTGGCCAATCAGTGTTTTATTAAAATATGATTGACAGAATACAGACAATTCTCCCACACCATGTGTATCTGTGGAGGCAGGCTTTGAGGTCTCATATATACTCAAGCCATGCCCAGTATCTCAGACTACTTCTTGTTATCTGTGCCAGATGTAGCTCCCTCTCCAGCAGAACTGTCTGCCTGCATGCCGCCGCATCCCATCGTGATAATAGACTGAACCTAAATCACCCAATTAAATGTTTTTGCTTTGTAAGAGCTGCCATGGTCAGGCTGGAGAGATGGCTCAGAGGTTAAAGCACTGTCTACTGTTCCAGAGGACCTGAGTTCAATTCCCAGCAACCACATGGTGGTTCACAGCCATCTATAATGAGATCTGGTGCCCTCATGCACTAAGGACACTGTATGTAAAATAAATAAATGAGTGAATTAACAAACAAACAAATAAATACATAGATAAATAAATTAGATAGGTAGGTAGGTAGCTAGGTAGACAGACAGACAGACAGACAAAAAAAGTTGCCATGGTCATGGTGTCTACTCATAGCCATAGAAACCCTAACTAAGATAAATATTCACTATGGTCTTTCAGGCAGCAGCAAAGAGGGAACACTATTGCCTCATTTTAAGGAAAGAAAACATTAGCAGGCTTTACTGACCTTTTAGGGTAGAAGAGGATATGTGTATATTCCTACATATACATATTCATATACAGAAAATCTTTGTAAAATGACACAAAAAAACTGTTAAGAGTTGAGGCTTTGGGCTGGAGAGATGGCTCAGAGGTTAAGAGCACTGGCTGCTCTTCCAGAGGTCCTGAGTTCAACTCCCAGCAACCACATGGTAGCTCACAACCACCTATAGTAATATTTGGTAATATTTGGTGCCCTCTGGCATGGACATAAAGGCAGGCAGAATATTGCATACTTAATAAATAAACAAAATCTTTATTAAAAAAGAGTTGGGGCTTTAATGAGAAAGATACAAAACAGTAGTGGGAAAAAGAACTTAGAACTCACATAATTGGACTGCTTAAATTAATAAAAATGCTTCTATTTACTATTCAAAAATAAAACTTCAATGTAAAAACATAAAGTAAGATAAACTAAGCTTACCTGGCTGGGCATGTAGCTTTGTAGAGATGGCAAGACCTGCTTTCTTGTTCACTGATTCTCTTTAACTGAAAACCTTTTCTCCTTGGTCCATACTGACACTCCATTACTACAGCTCGACTACCTGTAGCCCAAAACCAACAATGATAGTAATTTAGGTGTTCATATATTCTAGACAGATCTTTAACAACTTGGTTGTGGCAATTTCAAACTCTATACTCTTAATTACATAATCTTATGGAGCAAAACATCAGTATTTCTTACTAAAATGCAGCTTTTATATTCTTACCTCTATTTTTGATACATATGAAAATTCCCATAATTTTATTTTTCTTTTTTTGATACAGGGTCCACTAAGTAGCCTTGGCTGTCCTTGAACTCCTACAGAGCCTTCTACCTCTGCTGGATTATAAAGTCAAGCCTCAGTACTCCTGGCTGAGTTTTTTGTTTGTTTGTTTGTTTTGTTTTGTTTATATATCCTTGGTTGTCCTGGAACTTCCTAGTAAATCAGACTGGCCTCAAACTCAGAGATATTCCTATCTCTACCTTCTGAATGCTGGGATTAAAGGTATATGCCACTATGCCCGGTCTAACCTGGATATTTTTTTAAAGTCTGGAAATACTAAGCCAGGGATTGCATGTAGAGAAGTTTATAACATTGTCAACAGAAGTAAAAATCAGCACATTAATTCTTTTTTTTAATTTATTTATTTATTATGTATACAGTGTTCTTCGTACACACCAGAAGAAGACACCAGACCTCATTACAGAAGGTTGTGAGCCACCACGTGGTTGCTGGGAATTGAACTCAGGACCTCTAGAAGAGCAGTCAGTGCTCTTAATGTCTCTCTGGGCCTTCTCTCCAACCACCCCGCCCCCTACAGCACATCAGTTCTCTATGAGTAAATCTGAAGCCTTAAAACCTCAAAAAACAAAGCTTCTGGAACTTACTTGGCTGTAGAATCTGTTCTAAACCATGAAATTTTATGTGTCTGTCCATATATCTATCATCTATCTATCTGAGCGATGATTTGTTTCTGCTAGTAAGACTATTAAAGAATTACTTTTGATTATGTAATGTTGTCTATAGGTCTACTTGGAATTTAAAGTTCTATTTATGAAGTATTATTTATTCAGTGTCATAGAGTAAAACAGTTTTATGACGTTAATTAGTTATATTTGCTATGTTTTCTTTTTAGTTTAATATTCATTTTCAGCAATTAAAATGAAATTCTTACCTACCAAAATGAAATGTATGCTCTCACAAAGAAATCACGTGTTTACAATAGAGCACAGATACTGCGGAGTCTGTAAGTACTGATGAGGAGTACCTGCATTGACAAATGGGATTCCGTCATAGGGGACATACTGGGACTTCCACATCAAGCGCGTGGCAGGTTTGGCTGGGCTTGGAGACTGGCGAGTGCCCCAGACACTCTGGGTTTGCTGCTTGTGAAAAGTTAGGATGCTTTCTAATTCAGTCTCACTCACACAGTAGCCACGGTAGGAGTCTCCAATTTTCTGTACAAAGGAGTGAACAGTTAGTTTAACAAGACAGTTATCTAAGATGAAACAGCATCAGTTCACTTCCTCACCACTGGCCTGTACAACGGTATCATCAAACAAATGCAATGGTGTATAATGTCACATTCACTGCCATATGTAAGTTTTAGAAAAGAAAACTTGGAAGAATATGTAACACACCCATTCTCTTGGGTATCTAAAATTCTACCCCTAGATCAACTAACACAAGTTTAAAGCTAGCTTTGTCTGCATAGTGAGTTATCAGGCCAGCTATGGCTACATTGTGAAATCATCTCCAACAAACACACAGTCAAAACAACAATAACAACAAAAGCCAGCTAAGTATTGAGTGAAACAAAGAAATCAGTCTAAAACTTTGAGTCTGGATATCTAAGGAAATGGTGTTTATTAATGAAACAGGCAAAGAATTTAGGAAGCAGAACTAATATGGTTGCAGTGAATTTAAGGTAAACTCTTAAATAAAACTTCCAAAAAGACGCTGGAGATCTGGGACAACAGTAAGAATTACAGAACTGGTGATAAAGGGTTGCAAATTATTTTATAAACACGAGAGCTGAAAGTCAACAAAATAGGTACAATCCTTCAAAAGATAAAATGAAGACAAGGTCAGAAGCAAATCTTGAGGAATTTATATTGAGACTATAAAAAAATAAATGCAAACAGAGAGACAAAGAGAGAGGAGGTAATTCAGTGCAAAAGTAGAAAGGAATGATAACAAGGAAAGTCAGCCACAGAGAAGAAATGGCAGTGGGGCCAGAAGAGCTTTTTCTCTGTATTTCAGGGAGAGGGCTTCGTGCAGCCCAAGCTGGTCTCAAACTCATGTAGCCAAGGAAAATTTTAAACTCTCAATCCTCAGCCACCACCTCCCAAGTGCTGGGATTACAGGCATGCACCACACAATAGGCAAAACTTCCTCTTTACCTGAGCCTTTATCTTTAAAGAAAGAAACAACAGGTGAGCTTAGATTAAGTATAAATGCATACAGAATATGACAGATGCTGACTTACTATTTGTATGCAAAAATATTCAGTCGGGGATGAAATGTGGCCGTAACCAGGTAAATGAAACCCACCTCACAACTCCTAAGACGGCAGGCCCATATAGGTGTGTTAGAAGAAAGTGGCTGCAGAGGAGACGGCAAAGATTCCTCAAGCATTCTGGGAGAGAAGAGTAGATGTAAATACACAGTCATGCACACACACAAAACATTTAACTGCTTCGTCTTTTTCTTTACTTCATAATATATGTGTAATATTGTAATATATGGGCACACATGTGCATAAACATGTGTGCATATGTATATCAAAACCAGAGGTTGACATCAGATATTTTCCATAGTCACCCTTAACTTTTCAGGTTTTTTGTTTGTTTGTTTTGTTTTGTGTTCAGACAGGGTTTCTCTGTGTAGCCCTGACTGTCCTGAAACTTGCTCTGTAGACCAGGATGGACTCAAACTCACAGAGATCCACCTGCCTCTGCCTCCCAAGTGCTGGGATTAAAGGTGTGTCCCACTACCACACCATCTGGCTCACCTTGTTTTTTAAGACTGGGTTTCTCACTAAACCTGGAGCTCACTAACTCTGCAAACTGGCTGGCTAGTGAACTCAAAAGATCAGTCTTCCTTTGGGCCCCACTTCCCAGAGGCCACAGATAAGAACTACTACCCCTGGTTTTGAACACAGAGCCTCATACTTCGTACTGAATGCTTTACTAACTAAGCCATCTCCCCACCTCTTTAAAAAAAATATTTTATGTATCTTCATAGTTAACCTGCATGTAAGTATGCGTACCACATGTGACTGGGGTCAGAGTGGGCACTGAATTCCCTGGAACTGAAATTACAGTGGCTGGACGCCGCTATATGGGTGCTAGGAACCAAACCCAGGTCCTCTAAAAGAACAAGTGCTCTTAAACACAGAACCATCTCTCCAGTCTCTGACTCCTTTTTAAAAAACAAACAAACAAAAATTTCTGTACATTTATGTAATGCTAGATGTATTCCATGCCATTGATTTATGTTTTTCTGGTCTCTTCTAGAAGTCTCTTTTTTTCTATAAAACCTTCTATTCTGCTTTAGAAACAATTTCTTCCTTTTCACAAAGGATCATCTCAATGAGCTCTTAATTGCTGAGCAGTGTCTCCTGCCGTAGTAACTTTCCTATTGGTAATCTCCATTATAGTTCTTGATGGGGCTAAAGGATAAAGCAATAAACTCTTCTTAGGTGTGGCCAGAGGTGACGTATGAAAATGATTCACCACTCTCTTCATTCAGAAAACCCTACAGAATCATGTAAATCAAAAGGCTCAGATCTTGAGCTCATTTTTAAAACACCCAGGGAAGTGTCCAGACCATCAAGGACACACATATGTCTAAAACCATGAATCATTTGTAAGGTGTTCCTTTAAAGAAGCAATGTGCGCCATTCTGGCAGAAGAGTGGTCGAGCTGGTGGTCATGCTCAGGCCACACAGTGGGGCTAGCCAGAGCCAAGAGCTGTAGGAACTCTGCCAACTTCTAAGTATATCTTCCATTCCAATTATATATTCCAGATCTGGAGAAATAACCACAGGATGAGTTCAGGGACCCACCGGTTCTACTGTGAGACAGACTTCACTAAAACTCCATTATCATCTTGACCTCCAGAGCCCCTGCTTTAACTGGAGGACTACAACGCTTCTAGGGATTTCCTAGAATCAGTATCAATTCAGAACCAGTATGCAAAAGACCCTGGAAGGTTAATTACTTCCCCAGTGTACACTTACCCTGGTAAAAAGCCATCCGTCACTCTGGGGAAATGTAGGAGAAAGTCTCATAGCAAAATTCTTAGGTATTTTAGCAAGGTCCTTTCCTAAGGGGAACCTGTCCTTCTCTTCATTCAAGGGGTTCTGTGTCTGCAAACTTGATCAAATCTGAAAATTGGTTTAGTGACTGAGATTCCTTCTTGCCACCATCCAATGTAGACTTTCATTTGTCTGAGAATATGTTTTCTTATACAGATCAAACAAAAGCACAGTAGATTTATTTCATTCCTGGAAACACCATGACTGTTTAGCTAGTACCAAAGGTCCACATAAGCCATGCCACCACAAAAATCATTTTGCCTGTGCTGCACATTATGGGTCAGGCCATTATGGACATGGCTTTGTCTATGCTGCCCATTGCAATAACTATACTCACCTTACCAAATGATAAAAGAAAGGGTTTACTTTGACTTACAGTTTCAGAGAGATAGAGTCCCTCATGGCAGAGAAGTCTATAAGTCTATAAGAACATGCCTATAAGAGCAGATCTGAGCAAGCACTTCTCAACCCCACACAGGAAGCAGGGAGAGACAGAGAGACAGCAAGAAGTGGGTCAAGGTTCCAAACCCTCCACACCTGACCCCAGTGACTACTTCTTCCTGCAAAGTCCTATGATTTCCACAAACAGAGACACTAATGGGGACTAAAGTGTTAGAAAAGGTGAACCCGTGGATGACCTTTCTCAAAGCATCATGTCCACCATCCAGTTTTGTAAAACAAATACCACAAGATTTTAAAATCACAGATTTTAAATCACAGATGACTACCAAACAGTAGTAGTGTGTGACTGCAACACCCCATTCTCACTACTGAACAACTCAACTGCACAAAAAATGAATAAAGAAACACTGAAATTAAGCGTCATTGCAGATCAAACTAACTGATGAGCCTGACTGACAGCTACAAAACATTCTACCCAAACAAGGGACAACACACGCTCTTCTCAACAACCCACGGAATTGTCTCTAAAATAGCTCACACATTAGGACACAAAGCAAGTCTCAACAAATACAGTAAAGACAAGTTCCCCCTTCCCATGATTCACCTGGTTCCTGACTTTCTGGGTAGCACAAGGGATGCTTGTGAATGAAGAATACAATTACTGGCACTGGCTTCTAGAGTATCTGCTCTTACAGTTGGTAAGCTTCTGTCAGTGGGTTTCTCTTCAGAGGCATCTTAACAACAAAAATAAGAAACATCAGTATCTTGAATAACATTATGAAGGTTACTTAACTAGAATTACATCACTTAAATAGGAAAAAGAAGACTTGTTCTGAAGTTAAAAAAAAACTTTAATTAAGTTATTGAGACTGTCACTGATAAATTTAATTACTTTTAAATTGTATTTTATTTAAAATTTTAAAATGCAATTTAAATTGGATCACTATGAAATTTTGTAGTTAACTTTTTATACTTATATTTAACAGCAATATTGTTATATTAAAGAGTTTCACATGTAATACAGAAACAAAAACTTACTTATACATTGTGTTTATAATGTTCCTGCAAACCATGTTTTGTTTTAACTTTTAATGACTATTAATAAAGACAACAAATCATAAAGTTAAAAAGAACTATGTATAAAAGAGAAACAAAACAGTGTAGCAATGATGTTAAAAAGAGATTCAACTGTATTGCAAAGGGAAGAAAGAAAACTAATAGGGATATTATCAAATGGGCAAAAAAAATGGGTGAATGGGAAGACTGAAACAAAGGAATGAGGGAGGAGGAGAAGATTCAAAAACAGATTAAAAAAAGAATGGGTCACAAAGCTAGCAAAAAATCAATAAAATAGAAATATAAAAACTCCTGTATCTAGGTACTATTTTGTGCTATTGTTGCAATTTCATTGCTGTTTCTATAATTAAGAAGAATTTATTTTATGCTCACTGGTTATTTGGGAGGAAGCAAGAGTCAACCAGCCTCATAGAATTCCAAAATGAAATAGAAAGCTAACCTAGACAGGAGTTCAAAAACGAACTTAAGATTTATTGGAGCTAAACTAAAAAAAAATGTTTCCTAATTACTTAATTCACAATGTTACCTAAAGAGATAAACTTTAATATGGATGTCCATGGGAAATTTTCTGGACTATCACCTTAACCTTTAAAGCACTGTCAATCCCTGCTCCCATCCCATACTGACTCACCTTGAGGCCTAGTCGCATCCACCAGCGGCTCCCGAGGTATGATCACCTGTGCCATTCCTGTCTGGGTGGGTGGGATTACATGAACCACCTGTCCATTTTCTGAAGGGCTGGTAGTGATCGTCTTGGAGACATTAAAGAAACGATAAGCCATTCTGATTTACCAGGGCTACTAGGTTATTGAAGCAGACACCTACTTCTAGGATGGCCTTATTACTTCACTCTGCAGACACAGCACTGAGACTGCCAGTTTCTCCAAAGGTCCCACAGTGGACAAGTGCTGAAGCTAAGATTCAAAACAATCAGTTTGACTATAGCTGACGGTCTTAAGCACCGTGTGATCTTAATCATGACAGCACATGCATGAAGTTTAATAACACAGAGAGGGCAACGACAGCTTGGGTTATATAAAATCTTGTCTCAAAAACAAAAAGTAACTTACAAGCAAACTTTAGCATCTAAGCACTAGCTATAGACCACACCCAGCTCATCTCAGACACCAGTGTGCCTGACACGAGAGTAAGGACTGCTTTAAATATTATTTGTAGCCTTTGCACTCCTAAAAGGAAAAATACCCATATTGAAAAAAAACAAAGTCATAGAAAGAATATTTTCAATATAAAGTATAAGTCAATAGTATCAAGAAACTAAGGTCATTTAGTATGATTAATAGATATTGTTAAATATAACACTCATTAGCTATAAAATATACTCACCATTTGTGCATTAGAGTCTCCCAACGAGTGGAGATCATATTGAAGAGGCTGCCCATTTGGGTCTAAAAGATGGAACTGCTCTGCATAGAGGGCCTGTGTATCAGTCAGTGTCTCTGGCAGATCCTGAGATGTGAGGGGATCATCTGTTTCAGCAGTAACAGGCAAAATGGTAGGGGGCTCATTCTGTCCAAAGGAAGGATCCCCAGAGTCCATACAAGTTATATGCTTTTGAAAAGTCAAAAAATAAATTATTAATTAAAAAATTACATCAGTCTTTGAAAAATATACCATATTTTTACAAAGGTTTTCTTGTTGTTATTGTTGTTGTTTGGTTTTTGATTTTTTGAGACAGAGTTCCTGGCCATGGAACTTGCTCTGAGGACCAGGCTGACCTCAGTGTCTCTGCCTCCCTAGTGCTGGGTTTAGAGGTGTGTACCACCACTACTCAGTCTATTTTTACAGTTTTTAAAAAGACTGTATAATAAACATAGAAGGACATTTACATTTCAGTTCAGTATTCATTTTACTACAAGAGATTTTTGTTTTGTTTTGTTTTGATACAGGGTCTCTCTATATAAACCTAGCTCTTCTGGAGATACGTAGACCATGTGTGGCCTCAAACCCAAAGACCTGCCTGCCTCTGCCTCCTGAGTGCTGATATTAAAGATGTGCACCACTATGCCTGGAAAGTTTGGGTATTCTTAGTGATGGATATTGAACCCAGGACCTTCTACATACTAGGCAAACAATTTACCACTGAGCTACATTGCAGCCCAAAGTATTTCTTAAGACAGTGCTTCTCAACCTGCCTACATCTGTGGTCCTTTAATACCATTCCTCATGTTATGCTAAACCCCAACCATAAAATTATTTTCAATGCTACATCATAACTGTAATTTAGCTACTGTTATGAATCATAAAAATCTGTGGTTTTGGATGTTCTTAGGTGACCTCTATTGAAAGGGTCATTCGACTCCAAACAGGGCTATGACCCACAGGTTGAGAACCACTGTCTTGAGTGATAGCACTGACTTACATATGTTTTAACTTTTTATTTTCCCAGGAATGTATATGGAAATGATTAAATATAATTTTATATATATATAGTGCAAAAATTTTATGGTTATATCTAAGTGTAGGCTCATATTTCAATATGGTGTGGCAGCCAGGCTCTGAAGCCATAGGGTCCATCTGAGGTAGTCACGTAGCCCTGCAAACAGGCAGTCACTGCCCTAACAAAAAGTCAGGATGTTGTTGCTCTTTTCTTTGTAATTTGGAGGATGCTGATTCAAGCCTACGTGACAGGTAGCATACGCAGCAGACAGGTAGATGCAGACCTGACAAAAGGCCATTCACCTGGTTACCTAGGAGACAAAATGTTAGTGTATTTCCCCGCTCAGTTTATGGGTTGGTATAAAAGCTGCTTGGAGAATAAACGAGAGGAATTCTTCAGGATGTGAACTCAGGATTTCATGATGGATCACTGAGAATCTCCCACCCGATTAAGCCATGTGAGTTGTGTCTTGCCAGTCAAGAGAGAGAGTTTATGTTGGGGTCTGGTCTATAGAAATAATTTATGGTCTAGGCTAGAACTGGGCCCAGACATCTAAGCATTATTTAAAATTTCTATATTAAAAATTAAATATATGAGAGATATGTAATCAAAACCTTTCTGAAACAGAGTCTCAAATATGCACCCCAGGCCTGACCTTCAACTCTTGGCCCTGTGCTGTGCCTCCTGAATGTCTGGAAAACAAGTGTGTACCACCATCCCTGGCATATTAAAAATCTTGTATGACTTGAGTAAAAGACTGTCTTCAAGCATGAAAAGTTGTTAAATGCATGGTGTTCTTCTTAAAACCAGAAACCCTTGCAGTTGAATCCCTACCTCGGATTCCTGAGCTCCTCTTTCGGACTCTTTCCCATCGCTACAGCTGGCTCCTAACAAACGCCGCTGTTCCATGCTGGCTTCATATTCAGTCTCATTTTTCTCCTATTAGTTAACAGCTGAAAGAGTAAACATCTGGTCAACTGTAGTACTAACATTTTTATGGGGGTGTTAATCCTAAATAAATCTTTCATCTTCCATAACCATGGCACCTTACACAATACAGGCAAAATAATTTCCACTCTATAGATAGAAAATTACTGTTTTATTAATTAACTTGCCAAGGCACCATAATACATTTAAGGCAAATAAAAGGCAAATAAAATGTTAGGATTACATAGTTCCCTCAATTTTTTTTTAGTGGAGACAAGGTTTCTCTGTGGCTTTGGAGCCTGTCCTGGAACTAGCTCTTGTAGACCAGGCTGGTCTCGAACTCACAGAGATCCACCTGCCTCTGCCTCCCGAGTGCTAGGATTAAAGGCGTGTGCCACTACTGCCCGACCCTCATTCTGTTCTTAATTACACTCTACATTGGCTCATTAAACGTGAATTTGTGATATAAAGTTATGTCAGATTCACTGCACAATTATTTAATGCAAATAAAAGTTTATTTTCAGCCAGACAGTGGTGGCACACATCTTTAACTCCAGCACTTGGGAGGCAGAGGCAGGAGTATCTCTCTGTGAGTTTGAGGCCAGCCTGGTCTACACAGTGAGTTTCAGGACAGCCAAGGCTACATACAGAAAACCTATCACAAAGAAACAAAAAACAAACAAGACTAAAAGAAGAGTGAAATGGGGGCCTAGAAGATGGATCAGCAGGTAAAAGTCCTCTGGTCTCCACATGCACACATACACGCATACATACACACACACACACACACACACACGAGAGAGAGAGAGAGAGAGAGAGAGAATAAAAAGTCATGAAAATGTTAATTCATTTGATTGAACCCCACCATAAATACATATCAAATATGTTCCCCTTTATAAATAAACACAATTTTTGTCAATGAATAAAAATCTATGAAAAGGGAAACAATAAGTATCTAATGAATAAAGTTAAAAATGGTAAACACAGAGAAGAAACATATATTAAACTCATACTAAATATTACTAAAATAAACAATGAAGACAATAACAAATCAATATTACAAGTAGTTCTCTAGGGAAAGAAAACACTCATCAAGAAAGAGTGAGAGAAATCATACATGGTGGTGCACGTCTTTAATCGCAGCACTCAAGAGGTAGAGGTAGAGGCGTGTGATCTCTGTGAGTTTGAGGCCAACCTGCTCTACAAAGGGAGTTCCAGACAAGGCTATACAGAAAAACTCTGTCTCAGAAAAAGTTCTTGGAACTTTTGGAGAGACCAAAAAAAAGAAAAGAAAAGAAAGAGTAAGAGAGGCTGAAGCAACAGCTCAGTGGTTAAGAGCACTTGCTGCTGCTCTTTCAAAGGCCAAAAGTTCAGTCCAAGCACCCACATGGTAGCTCACAAACTGCCTGTAGCTCCATTTCCAGGCACCAAGCATGAACATCATACACATGTATAGATGTAGCCAAAACACCCATGGTGTAGGACAATTCTATATTCTGTCAATTATGTTTTAAATAAATGCTGACTGGCCATTAGCCAGGCAGGATGTATAGGTGGGACAACCAGACAGGAAGTAGAGGTGGGGCAAGGGGAGTAGGAGAATTCTCGGAAGAAAGAAGCTCTTTCTGCAGTCCTTCCCAGACCACAGAAGAAGCAAGATGTGACCTACCCCATAAAAAAGGTACCGAGCCATGTGGCTAATATAGATAAGAATAATGGGTTAAGTTATAAGAGCTAATATGAAGCCTGAGCTAATGGGCCAATCAGTTTATATCTAATGTAGACTCTCTGTGTGATTTTTCTCTAGGACTAAATGGCTGGGGAACTGGGCAGACAGAAACCCCAACAAGCAGGCTCTCATGTTACACACCCATATACATATAATTTAAAAATAAGCATTTTTTTACCAGGTGGTGATGGTGTACACCTTTAATCTCAGCAGTAGGGAGGCAAGGAAGGCAGATTTCTGTGAGTTTGAGACCAGTCTGACTTACAAATAAAGTTCTAGGACAGTCAGATCTGTTATATTGAGTAACTCTGCCTCAAAAAACCAAATTAATTAATTAATAATTATTTTTTTAAAGAATAGGGAAAAAAACACAAATCAAATTAATATCAGGAATAAAAAGGGACAAACTAAAGTAGACATTAAGGTGAAGATATTATGGGCAGTTCCTAGAAAAAAAGAAAACTTACCAAATAAATTCTAGAATTATAAAGGCTGAACAGTCCAATACATGTTTAAAAACATTGGAAGTGAAAAATCTTAGAACAAAATGAGTATCAAGGCAAGACATTTTATAAGGACATTTTTAGAAACCAAGCAACTATAATCTTGCATCAGCTCTTTGAGACTAAAGAGGGATTACTCCTAATTCATTCTATAAGAAAAGAAAGAACACAAAGGAAGAAAATTCAAAACTAATTTCAATTTTATATTTATCATATTTTCTAGTTTTTGTTATGACCCTTTGGCATCTTTGGAATCTCACTGACCAGGGAAGGACTGCTCTGATCCAGACTAACCAATTCCTAGAGGTATAAAAGATGCTCTCACAAAACTAATCTCCCTATGCAAACAAGTCCAAATACTAGACTCCCACAGCTAGCTTCATTATAGACTCTGACCCTCTGGGACAGCACTCCCAGCTTTAACTTCTGTAAGACCAGTTATCAGTCAATACAAGCCATAGTCCAATAAGTTTATTCAAACTTTCTGATCTTAAGTCAGCTTAGTCTGCTTAGGCTTCTTTGCCCATTTTTTCTCTCAAAAACCACAAGCAAGGTTCTTCTGCACCCATGTGTTCCTGCCACCAACCTTGGGTTACATTGTGTGGTTCTCTGGGGTACAGCATGCCCACTCCTTTTGAGACCTGTGAATAACAGGCTATCTTCTCTTCATCTGTTGGTCTCACCATACCTAAATGAAAAGAAAACCATAAGCATATGAATGGAAAACACCCAAATATAATCACAGAGCAAACTCAGCAGATTGGACTTAGGAGATGGCTCAGTGGGTAAAGGCGCTTGCTGCCAAGCCTCGTGGTCCATGTTTGAGTCCTGGAACCCAGATGGTGGAAGGAGAGAGCCAGGTCCTTTAAGCTGTTCTTTGGCCTCACATGTGCACAGTGGTGTGTGCTTGAATAAGCACAAGCATGCACATGTGTGCACACACACACATGCACCATCACACTAAATACGTCAGTAAATAAATAAAAAATGTAATTATTAAAATCTCTAAAACCTGAAAAAACAGCTAAACAGTTAAGAGCACTTAGCTGATTCCTTGGAACCATTTTCAACTTAGAGTTTCTGGTACCTACGGTAAGGTCATTGTGGCCACAGACAGAACAGATATTCTTATTTCAGCTTCTGACATATTGATAAAACATGGCTGATATCTCCTTTCATCCATCCAAAACTCTTCCTTACACCTATTAGGTTTTGAAGAACTTAGAGTGTTCTTAAATCTTTAAGCAACAGACACTCATTTTTCAATGATTTTAACTTCAGACAAATAATCTTAATAAACAAATAATCTTTCTCCTTTTCATGTATCTCTGCCAGCATTTGTTTGTTTTGATTTTAACCATCCTGACAAGAGTAATATAAAATCTCATAGTAGTTTTAATTTGAATCTCCCTGATAGCTAAAGATGCTTGTTGAACATTAAAAAAAAAAATTCTTAGTAATGTTTTTTTTTCCCCCTGTTTAGTTTCTGTCCAAGATAATTTAATTGGATTATTTGGGGTTTATTTTCTGGTGCTCATTTTTTTGAGTCACTTGTATATTCCAGATACCAGTCCTCTGTCAAATAGTTCGTACATCAATTCACAACAGCTATGACTGCATGCATAAGACAGGATTAAGCCAAAGTCCAAGAACCAGAAAGAAGTGAGAGTCATGAAGTTCCACCCCCAACTGGGGAACAGTTGGGAGCTGGTGGCTCCTGTCCCTCAGGGATTCGACCCTGGAGAGGTTACTCAGACTCCAGTGGATGGCCCTGCACTAATGACCCAGGTACACACTGGCAGCACTAAGATGACTCAGTGGGTTTAAAAAAAAAAAAGGCATATGAAGTTGAGAGTGACCAGAGGTGAGAAGTTGGAATGGAGAGAGGGGATGGGAACGGTGAATGGATTTGGTAATTTACATAGTTAAAACATAAAAATTTAAGAAACAAAAAGACAACTAATGAATTTAAAAAAAAAACAAAGTTTAAAAAGTTATTACCTTCAGGCAGTGGCTCAGGTTTCAAGCTCGGGTTCCTACATTCTGTTAGCCTCAGAAATGCCCTTTTATGTTCATTGACAGTCTTCCTCTAGGGCACTAAATTACAGTAGTGCTAGCTTTGTTCACGTGAAAACTGTAACTATGTCTTCAGGGCAGCATGTTCTCTGCAAGGAAATGGTAGTCAATGTATATTTTACTCTTCTACACACAAATAAAACTACTAAATTTCACGGTATATGTTTTATTTATTGCCAGGCTGATATGGTAGGACATTATTCTGCTCAGTTGAAAGAGCTAGTCAGACATCACTTATGCCCTAGAAGAGGCGACTTGACCCTTGTCCTGCTTCCTTATCTACAATTAGACGTTTATTTTAGGCCCAACAGTCTATACAGTCTGTTAAGTATCGTTGAAACAAAGATTTCTGTAGCCACATGTTTTTCCCCCTCAGTGAAAGTAATTACCAGTAGAGCATCTTTGAAAGCCACGAGTTGAAAATAGAACGTTTCTATAACTACAACCTCCAATCCTAGAGCTGACAAATGTATCTTGTAAGCAGGAAGAACCAGGACTGGGGAACAGAAAGAAGCATTAAAGATGGAGTCTTTGGGAGCTAGAGAGATAGCTCAGCAGTTAAGAACACTGGCTGCTCTTCCATTGGACCTGGGTTCAATTCCTAGTATCCACATGTTTGCGTCATACAAACGTACATACACAAAAACACATTAAGCAAAAATAAATTATTTTTTAAAATGATAGAGTCTATTCAGTAATTTTGGGGAGCTTGCTTTTCTTTTTCTGGGAAAGGGCCTTCATGGATGTTCCTATCACTTTACAAAAGTGGATTTTATTGTGTATCAAAAGTAGAGGGTTCCAGGCTGGAGAGATTGTTCAGTAGTTAGGAACACTGCTTTCGCGGAGGACCAGGGTTCAGTTCCCAACACCCATGTGAAGTGGCTCCCAATACCTGCAACTCTAGCTCCAGGGGATGCCACACCTTCCTCTGGCCTCTGTGGGTCTGTACTCGAGTGTATAAACCACAAACAAGACACATACATATACAAATAACTAAAAATCATTTTTTAAGAAAATAAAGGTTTGGAAGAATCTTATTGTTTCTGTTTTTACTTTATAACAGCTATTTGACTGCTTACACATGGTAAATGCATAGCAGAGGGCTAGAGACTAATCCAGACACGGATGTTTCTCTATAAAGGGCATTACTTGGGATATGGATGTTTGACTTTGATTAACAGCAAGTTTATGTGTCCAAGGCTTTAAGGGTAATTCCTCAGGTGTACTTCCCGGAAAACTGTCACCATCAATCTTGTATTGCTCCCCTAACCTTTATGGATTAAAACATATCCCCTAAAACTAATAACCTAAGTCAGGTGTGGTGGTGCATGTCTTTAATCTCAGTATTGAAGAGGCAGAGGCAGGCAGCTCCAACTTAAACATTTTACTTCTTCGTAGAAAAGTTAAGGATCATGTTTACCACTTTTACCTATAATTGTGATTTCTACAGCTCCTGCCCTGCACACACACAGACATACACACACACACACACACCTTTTAATTTCCGTGCTCTTTGAGAGCTTAAAAATTACTGAATTTTACACAGATTCCAAAGGGACTTTATTAGCTGTTTAAGGGTAAGCCAAACACAGTGGTGCCCCACCCTCTTATCCTTGGGAGGCACAACCTCAGCTCATGTGAATACCTGGAATCAGGATTCCTAAAGTGAGTACAAACAAATGATAGCTAATTTATAATTAAGCAGAGAGAAAGAGAGTAAAAACAAGTCTTAACGACATACTTCAGTAAAACTTCCATGATGTCGTCTCTGAAATAGCTTGTTTATTGTAGATGTTACTAAACTAGCCTACAGCTTTTCTTTCCAAATTAAAAATTCCATCATTTGACTTAGAACACTAAAACTTCTCTTTGGCACATGTGAGCGGCCACTATCATCACCTTTGCACTTACTGAAATACAGACTGTGATACTGACTTAATAACCAAAAAGGTAAGTATTACCAACAGGCGGGCAGTAGAGTGGATACTGTCCCTGGACATGATACCTCTGATAGCACAGTGCAAGACATTATGTTACTTACTGAGAAAGACATACAATCTAAAACTCATGAGTTATTCCTAGGATTTCTGTTTAATATTGACAGAAGGTAACTGAGACTAACACAAAACTATGGATAAAAGGGAACTGTGGTAATTCTAAGATCCCATAACTTGGGCTATGATATAGCTCAGCAGTACAGTGTTTGCCTGGAACACATAAAACCCTGAGATTAATTCCAGAACTTTAGATTCAGGTTCAAAACAAACAACAGCCAAGTGCGGTAGCAGGCATATATAATTCTAGTATTCAGGAAGTAGGGGCAGGGGGATCTCAAGTTTAAAGCAAATCTGGGAAAACACAGTGAATTCAAATCCACCCTGACTACATAGAGAGACCGAGACCCTTTCTCAAAACAAAAGATTGCAACAAAAGAAATATTTTTCCCTGTTGGGGGTCTTCCAGATAACTGTGAGTGTTCATGAGAACCACAGTAAAATGAATCCCAAAGGTTTTCAGTTGATATTAACTAAACTTTTAGGAAACCAAGACACAAAAGCATTAGCTATGTTATCCAAGCACCACCTGGATACAATGAAGACACCCAAGTCACTGTTGGAAGAAAAAAAAAATCATGCTGGATATTCTACATTTTGCAAGACTAGTAACTAGTTTTTCCTTAACTAAACATCTTAGCCAAATAAAAACATCTTATTAGTGAATCCAAGATTTCTGCTTTGCAAATTGATGTCTTTCCTTGAGTAATTCAGGTTCTGCATCTTCCTAATCATAGTTCCGTTCAAATTAAAATATAAAAGTATTGACTTTTAAGTATTGGTAACTTGATAAAGCCCAAATTAAAGAAAGTTTAAAAAGCTAATTAATCAATCATATGCTATCAGCAAGTAAGAATTCAATAGTTAAACTTCAAGTTAGGAATTTCAAGTTTCAGCTGTCGCAGCTTATTCAATGTAAATCCTCAATATTGTAATGGCTCACGTGTAAAGGGTCACACTGCTATTAGCAAGCCCAATCTTATCAAAGTGATTTCTTTCTGGAACTTGGGCAAAGGTTTTCTCATTTTATGCCTCCACCTGCGTCAGTGACGTTTCTAGTGAAAACTTGTACTGCTAGCTCTTACAAAGTCAATAGTTAACATTTAGAGTGTTTCTTATGTGACATTTAATTCTCGCAGTTGATCAGAGTGTGGCACAGAGGTTAAGTAGCACAGGTAGAATCAAATGCAGGCATTCTTGTTACAGGGCATGCAATTCTGTAAGGTGAATATACTGAAAACAGTCATGCTTTCTACTGTCATTGCTCACTTAACAAATGGTTTTTCGCCTTCAATTGTTTAGATCACTTCGAATTTTCTACAGATGATTTAAATATTAGGCAACATATATATATAATATATATGTGTATTATATATATTAAAAAAGAAAAGCGTCCGGTGTTTTCACCTGCACACATACCGCTAAGCCCACATATTTTGCAATCCAGTTCTGCCTGACTCTCAATTATTGTCCCGGAATGCCAACCGCTCCACCCGCCGCGCCCCTTGGAGGTATTCGGGCAAATGCCTTAGAATGTGACTTTGGGATCTTAAAGTATCCCCCATCTATTCTCCACTCGGGAAAATAACTAAAGTAATAATAGGGACCATTGAGACCGACACAGGCCTTTGAGTGAGTTCACGATTCAAAAGCAAAAACAGTCTGAAAGCAGGGGAGAGGTGCAGAGGAAGCCTTTCTAAACTTCAGGCTAAGAAAGGAGGGGAGCGGCCCCTCTACCACGGGTGCTCTCGGGCTCAGCACCCTCCGCAGGGCTCCTAGCCTCCCCTGCTGCAGCCTGCCTTCCCCTGGCCGCGGGTCCCCTCCCGAGAGGCCGGCGAGACTCTGGGACAGCACGCAGCCCGGCCGCGGCGGCCGGGGGCGGGGGCGGCGGTTGCTCCCAGGCCGGGAGGGTCAGGAGGTGACGGGAGGAGGCGGAGGCGGGAGGAAAAAGGGAGGTGGGGAGGGAGCGTCCGGTCCGTGGGCGCAGACAGCTCTGCCAGACCTCCGGCTCCCCCAACCCTGCCGCCGCAGTGAGCCCCGCAACGCAAGAGGGGAGTCGGCCGGAGCAGAAGGGAGAAAATTCAAAACGAGTCTACTCAACCTCGTCTTGGCTCAGAGGCCCTGCCATGGAGACCAGCACAGTGCGCACGCGCACCCCTCCGGGAAGCGCGATACAGGCCCATAAGGTTGGGCCCTTCTCGGCCACCGTCGCCCCGGTCCCTTCCGAGTCGTTTTCCTGTCCGGCACTTCCGCTCTGCAGCCTGTGGTAAGAACACATGGTCTCGGCAGAGTCCGGCTGTTGCTGGAACGACGCGTAAAAAAACAGACAGGTAGGACCTTTGTCACAGAGCTAGGGAGCAGGAAATGGAATGTCTGACAGGAGAAGGGAGTTTTAAAGGCAAATAAGAGAACCTGAGTTCGGTGTGGCTAAATAAATAAAACCTGCACTCCCGGCGTTCAGAGCGTGTCGGGAACGCACTCCCTTCTGGGGTTTGTAGTATCTGAGCGCTGAGGCCGAAGTATCCGGCCTAAAGACACCCTCTAAAAAAATCAGGTTCAAGCTAGTTCTTTTCCCTGTCTGTCTTCCTAATCGATTATGGGTCTGATAGTGCAAACATAGACGTGTTAAAGGGACTGGCTGCTCTCAAGACTGTGCTTGACTGATCGATGTTTCCTGGATCTCGGGATAGGTAGTTGATGTGTGCGGGCTGGGCGCTTGTGCAACGGGAACCTCGTGGTATGGTCTGAGGAAGCTGAAGGTAGCAGATCCTACCATCCACGGCGCTTGCCGCGTGCTGACTGTCAACGCACACATCGTTGTGGAGGAGCCTCGTGTGCACTTTCCGCCATGGCACAACTCCAGGCACGTTTCTACACCGAGAACAAGAAGTAAGTAAGCGTCTCGGCGTTTGCCCCTGCCTTCCCGGAGCCGATCTGGTTTTAAGACCCCGTTGGGTTTGGACCTTGTAGTTACTGGTAATCCTTGCGGTTTTGACTGGGAATATACGTTAAAAGAAACAGGCAACGCTTTAGTAAATCAAAGCTGAAAGGAGTTTAATAAGTCTCATCTTTGAACACTTCCTAAAGTAAAATTACTGCCTGAAATAGGAGCAAGTTTCTTTGGTCTGCTGTTCTTTCTTTCCCACATTCTCATTTCTAGACTACCTTACCTGGCCAACATCACTTTGTAACTGTGGCTTAAGAATGGTCTTTCTGTGCATCCTTTTGGGTCCTGCACGTCCACCCTTTTTCTCTGGTTGAAGTGACTTATTTTTGATAGTCACATCATTTATGTGGCACTGTGGTCACAGGGTTTCATTATGCTTAATTCTTTTTGTTTTGTTTTTTGTGTTGTTTTTGTTGTTGTTTTGAGATAAGGTTTCTCTATAACTTTGGTGCCTGTCCTGGAACTAGCTCTTGTAGACCACGCTGGCCTCAAACTCCCAGAGATTCGCTTGCCTCTGCCTTTCCGAGTGCTGAGGTTAAAGGCTCGCACCACCACCGCCCAGCTGTTTGTTTTGGTTTGGTTTTGGGGTTGTTTGTTGGTTGGTTGGTTGGTTTTGATTTGTTTTTCGAGACAGGGTTTTTCTGTGTAGGCCTGGCTGTCCTGTAACTCCTATGTGGACCAGGCTGGCCTTGAACTCAACAGAGATTCATCTGCTTCTTCCTCCCAAGTGCCTGCTTGATTCATTAAGAATAAAGACACTTTACATCATTTTGGTTTTGCCTTGTAGCAAATGTCTGGCATGAAGGACCCAGTAAATAGTTGTTGAATGAATAAATTCAGATTTACCAAAATATGTGTAGACATAATACTGACATATCATTTCCCTTTTATAGCTATGCCGTAGATGATGTTCCTTTCTCAATCCCCGCTGCCTCTGAAGTTGCTGACCTTAGTAACATCATCAATAAATTGCTGGGGACCAAAAATGGTAGGTATATGTGCTCCAAGAAGTTAGGAGAGGACACATTGCCACCAACTACACATAAATACATTTTGTTTTGACACAAAATTTCCCCTGTAGAACCCTGGCTTTACTGGAACTTGCTCTGTAGACCAGGCTGACGTCAAATTCAGAGATTCACCTATATCTGCTCATAACTGTCTGTAATTTCAAAATCCAGTACCCTCACACAGACATACATGCAGGCAAAAGACCAATGCACACAAAATAAAAATAAATTATGAGAAGAAAATAAGGTCTGGAGAGATGGCTCAGTGAATGGAAGTGTTTCTGTGGAAGCTTAAAGACCAGCATCTAGATCTCTAGCCCCCATAAAGGACAGGTTGGTGTGAACCGGCCTGTAATCTCAGCACACTGGGAGCAGAGATGGTGGTCTCCAGAGTGAGCTGGCCAGCCAGACTAGCCCAACATCAAGCTCTGGGTTCAGTGAGATCTTGCCTTAATATTTAAGGTAGTAAGTGACATTCAACATTAGCCTTAAACTTACACATGTACTCACACACGCATATGTAAAAAAGAACACACAACTGGTTAATACATTCATGTTGATGTGGTAGAAACTGAAGTCTTACCAGACATTTAAGGCTCACTGGTTTACATGATATAATAGAGGAACATAAAAGACACTCTGTAGGGCCACAACATAGCTCAGCTAGCTAAAGGTGCTTGCTGTCCAGTGGTGCAGGCCTGGTGACCTGAGTTTACTCCTCACAACTCAAGTAAACGTGAAGAGACCCAACTCCACAAAGTTGTCTTCTGACCTCCACATGGGTGCCATGGCGCACATGCCCACAAACACACATCATACATACACAATAATAAAAATAAACTTCAAAAATAGAAAGACACTTTTGAGATGTAATTAACCAAGCCCAGAATGTAAGAAATAAAAGCTAGTTGGCCTGCTTTTCTCAATGAGGAAATGACAGAAAAAGGAGGGGGAGTTTTAAAGATTGAGTAAACACATTAACCAGTTAGGTGCCAGCTTTTACTACACAAAATGAACAGCTGTGCCTGATAATACACACCTGCAATTACAGTGCTCTAGAGACTGAGACAATGAGTCTGAGATAGCCCTATTTATCTGTCTAGCCTCTAGAGGCTACCCTGGGCTATGTATGTATGAAACCAGTGTGGGCTACACAGTAAGACCCAGTTTAAAATATGTTACATTAATTTTTTTAAAAAAACACTCATGAATAATGACCTGACTATTTGATAATAACATGGCTAATTTTTGTTTGTTTTGTTTTTTGAGACAGGGTTTCTCTGTGTAACAGTCTTGGCTGGCCTCGAACTCACTGAGATCTACCTGCCTCTGTCTCTCAAGTGCTGGTATTAAAGGTGTGTGCCACTACTGCCTGGCCATAGTTAATATTTTAACATTGTGTTTTAAGTCTTTATATTTTAGAGACACATAATAAAGCCATTTACAAACAAAATGGTATGATTTCTGAGGTTGCTTTAAAGGAAGCTAGCAAAAGAATGGAGATAGGGGTAGAAATTATTGATGAGTTGTTTAGTATTGGAGCAGGGTGTAGGTGTTCACTGTTATTTATATTTTTATGTATGTTGTAAATTTTCTGTAGAACGAAATCTTTTTAAAACTCAGAGAATGGGCTTCAGATGGTATTCAAGCTATTGTCTAGCCTGTTGACCTCTTGTAGTGTACTCAATAAACCGTTCTTTTAAAATAAAAAGGTGGGATTTATAGGGTGTAGTTAATTCAGTGTTAGAACATGTGCTTAGTGTACATATGACCTGGGTTCAACCCCCAGGCTCTAAAATATTACATCACCTTAAAACCAAGTGTAAGTCAAAAGAACAAAGTATATTGGTTCTTTAGAAATCAAGTAGCCAAGTGGCATGGTGGTGTACGCCTTTGATCCCAGCACTCAGATGGCACAGTCGGGTGTACCTCTGTGAGTTCAAGGTTAGCCAGATCTACTTAGTGAGTTCCAAAGACCCTGTCTCAAAAAGCCAGAAATTAGCCAGGCAGTGGTGCGCATCTGTAGTCCCAGGACTCGGGAGACAGAGGTAGGCAGATCTCTGTGAATTTGAGGCCAGCCTGGTCTACAGAGTGAGTTCCAAGACACCCAGAGCTGTTACACAGAGAGACCTTGTCTTAATAAAAACAAGTCATTCAGTGTGCTACATGAGCCCTGAGAAGTTGTGGAACAGCTGGGGCAGCAATGGGCACTGCTTTGGGGCCCCCATACATATGACACTGGTATCCTTAAAACCCTTACTCTTTTGCAGAGCTCCACAAACACGTCGAGTTCGATTTCCTTATCAAGGGCCAGTTTCTTCGAATGCCCTTGGTCAAACACATGGAACTGGAAAATATTTCATCGGTAAATCCAAGTACTGCTTATATTTGATTTAATATATTACTAAATATTTTAAGTAACTGCTTATAGTATCAGTTTCAATTGTTTTCAACACCCAAGATTATTTTGCCCTTTTTTTGTTTTGGGTTTTTTTTGTGGTTTTTTTTTTTTTTTTGGTTGTTGTTTGTTTGCTTTTATTTTTCAAAACAGGGCTTCTCTGTACCCCTGTCTATCCCGGAACTTGCTCTGCAGACCAGGCTGGCCTCTGCCTACTAAGTTCTGTGATTAAAGATGTGCACCACCACCACCTGGCCTTTCGACTTCTTTTTAAGTGTCTCAGAAGACATTTTAAAATTACATTTACTTATTTACTTGTTATATGATATGTGTAGGTGCCAGAGCCTGCATGTGAAGATTGGAGAACAATCAGTGGGAGAGTGGGAGTCAGTTCTCTCCTGTGGGTCCCGGGGATTGGATTTAGGACCTCAGGCCTGCTAGCTCACTCACCAGATTTGAACTTAATGTGTCTATATAGTCATCTTTTAGACCCCTTCTAAGAGTATTTTATTTAAGAAAATGAATTAATCTAATCTTTAGGTTTGTGAAAGTATGAGTAAGAAAAGGAATAACGTGTGTTTATGTATATATGTGTGTGTGTGTATATATATATTAATAAAACAGTACAGAGTAATTGTACACATCTCAGAAAATGTGGGATAGGTTATAGTGATTGTGATACTCTATAGTTTTTAAACTTTCTTTTTTTTTCTGTCTTCAAAATAATATTTTGAAACTGTCCCCTGACTTATTTTTTGTTTTCTGTGTGACTAGGAAGAGGTTGTGGAACTAGAATATGTGGAAAAATACACTGCACCCCAGCCAGAGCAATGTATGTTCCATGATGACTGGATAAGCTCAATTGAAGGGACAGAAGAATGGTATGCCACAGGAGTGTGCTTTTTGTTCTCTCTCTCTCTCTCTCTTTCTAAGATTTATTCATGTATTATGTATACAGTGTTTTGCCTGCATGCCAGAACAGGGCACCAAATCTCATTATAGACGGTTGTGAGCCTAACCTCTAAACAGTGCTCCTAACCTGTGCCTTCTCTGCAGCCTGATTGTTGTTTTCTTATGTACATCCTTCAGTCCTTGTCATCCACAGTGTGACTATTTCTCTCTGATTTCTTTTTCTTCATAAAAGCAACTTTGGGGGCTGGAGAGATGGCTCAGCGGTTAAGAACACTGCCTGCTCTTCCAAAGGTCCTGAGTTTAATTCCCAGCAACCACATGGTGGCTCACAACCATCTGTAATGAGATCTGGTGCCCTCTTCTGGCCTGCAGGCATACACACAGACAGAATATTGTATACATAATAAATAAGTAAGTAAATATTTTTTTTAAAAAAAAAAAAAAGCAACTTTGTGCTGTGTGTATTGGTGACCATACCAAACAGGCATTTGCAGTCAATGTATTCCAGAAGAAAAAAGTGTTTATGTTAGATTTTCTTTGTTTAAAAATGTTGTGATATTTGTATTTATATAAGTCAGCAGTTGTTGGAGGGAGGGTTGCTTGTTGGTTCCTAGCTGCCCGGCTAGTTTAGCCCCGAAATAATCACACAGAAACTGTATTATTTAAATCACTGCTTGGCCCATTAGCTCTAACTTCTTATTGGGTAACTCATACATTAATTAAACCATTCCTATTAATCTGTATATCGCCACGTGGCTGTGGCTTACCAAGTAAAGTTATGGATTCCATCTCAAGTGGCTCCATGGCTTCTCTCTGACTCTGCCCTTCTTTCTCCCAGCATTCAGCTTAGTTTTCCCCACCTACCTAAGTTCTGTCCTATCAACAGGCCAAGCTAGTTTTCTTTATTTATTAATGATAATCACAGTATACAGAGGGAAATCTCACATCAAGCAGTCATTGATATTTAAGACCAGAGATACTGCTTCATAGAGAAGAAAAAAATAATGTTTATGAGTATAGATCTCCCTACTTTCCATGAAGATTCAGACATGCTACTGTAGGGTTAACGTGGGCAGCCTGAAGTCAAAGAGGTATGGACGAACGTCTTAGAGCACTGGTTCCCAACTTCCTGATGCTGTGACCCTTTAATATAGTTCCTCGTGTGACCCCAACCATAAAATTATTTCATTGCTACTTCATAACAGTAATTTTGTTACTGTTTTGAATTGGAAATATCTGATATGCAGGATATCAGATATGTGACCCCCAAAAAGGGGTCTCGGTCCATGGGTTAAGAACCACTGTCTTCTTTTTTGGTTTGGTGGGGTTTGTTGTTGTTGTTGTTGTTGTTTGGCGCGGGTGGGGGGTGGTTTTGGTTGGTTGGTTGGTTGGTTGTGATTGGTTGGTTTGGTTTGGTTTTTCGAGACAGGGTTTCTCTGTAGCTTTGGATCCTGTCCTGGAACTAACTCTTGTAGACCAGGCTTGCCTCAAATTCACAGAGACCCTCCTGCCTCTGCCTCCCGAGTGCTGGGATTAAAGACATGCACCACTACCACCTGGCAAGAACCACTGTCTTAAAGCAAATGGCTACTACTGATCATAATCCTAACTGGCTTTACTTATAGAAAAATACCTTAGGAGTTGATCAGAGGGGTACCTTGCTTCTGTCTTTTCTGGGGCCACTTTGTTTTTATTTATTATGTGTTTGTTTTGGGGGATGTGTGCGGGGTGGGGTGTCATTGCACGCATGTATAAAATGTGTGGCAGTCAGAAGACAACTCTGAAGTCGGTTCTTGCCTTCTACCTTTACATGGGTTCCGGGGACTGAACTCAGGTCTTTGGGTTTTGTAGCAAATGCTTTACTGCTTAGCCATCTTATCCTGAAGCTTACTTATTCCAAAGAATAAGTACTTGGAATTATTATACAAAGGTAGGGGTGTGTGTGTGTATGTGTGTGTGTGTCTGTGTAGTCCTAATTGTCTTCCTATATAGATCAGTCTGGCCTCAAGCGCAGAGAAATCATCCTGCTTCTGTCTCGGTGTGCCACCATGCAAGGCTTGGTTTTTCTTTTATTTTTCATGATTTTCCTTTTTGCTTTGGTTTTGTAGGGGGTTTGTGTGTCTGTGGTGCTGGACATCAGATTGAGAGGCTTCTGCTTACTGGACAAGTGCTGACCACTGAGCTGTATCCCCTTCCTGTTTTTCTCTTGAATAGTTTTCAGTGGTTAATTAAGGAATGTTAGGCTTTACAAATAGTTCGTATTGCTTTGAAATTTACAGCATTTTCAACAATAAAAGTGAAATCTCATATTGTTTCAGTGGTTCAGAAAATTAGTGTAACATCTAAGCTACTGTTATACTTTGACATCTTGTTCTTCATGTTAAAGAGGAGTTTACTTTGCCATTGCCGTAGAAACAATTGGTTTTCAGGACTTCAAACGTCATCTTATTGTATTTCATAGTATTTCTTCCCATTTTAGGATCCTGTCTGGTTCTTACGATAAAACCTCTCGGATCTGGTCCTTGGAAGGAAAGTCAATAATGACAATTGTGGGACACACAGATGTTGTGAAAGATGTGGCCTGGGTGAAAACAGGTAGGATTGTACGTAAGAGGAATCCTAAGAGTTTAAAATGCTTCATGCCTCAGTTGGTCTACCTCAGTCTTTCAGATGTGTAGTACTCAAAAAGCAAAGTGTAATGAGTTCAAGGCCAGCCTGATCTCAGAGCGAGTTCCGGGACAGGCTCCAAAGCTACAGAGAAACCCTGTCTCGTTAAAAAAAAATAATAATAATAACAGGAAGGAAAGAAAAAGAAAAAACCCCCCAAAAAAAAGAAGAAGAAGAAGGAAGTGTGTATGTGTGGTTTCTATGGCTTTGAGACAGGGTTACTCTGTGTAGCCCTGGCTGTCCTGGAACTCACTCTAGACCAGAATGGCCTCAGACTCACAGAGATCCACCTGCCCCTACTTCCTAAGGGCTGGGATTAATGGCGTGCAACACCACCACCCAGCAAGAATTAATAATTTTTAAATCCATAGATTGCTGTTTGTTTCAGCCTGGTCCTGGAAACTGAACCCAGGATTTTGTGTATGCTGGGCAAGCACACTGCCACTGAGCCATGTTACTAGCTCCAAATCCAGGAATTTACAGAAGTAAATCTTTACTAAAATTATCTGTACATTTTCTAGTTATTAAGTATATTGAGCACATTTTCCTACTTTTAAAGAATCTTTTCTTTTTAGCGACAGCAGCGGGTGGTATGTCACAGGGTCTCACTGCATAGCCTAGGCTGGCCTGGAACTTACTGCCGCCTTTCTGCCTCAGCCTCCTGAGAGCTGGGATTGCAGATGCATTTTCCCTCTGTACTATGATAACTCTCTTTCAAAAGCAGTCCATCTGATTATTATTAAAACAGTCACAAAAATACTGAGTGATAAAAAATAAGATGCAGTTAAGATTTTGTACTAACTTGTTTCTTATTTTCTCTTTTCTTCAGACAGTTTGTCCTGCTTGCTACTGAGTGCCTCAATGGATCAGACGATTCTTTTATGGGAATGGAATGTGGAGAAGAACAAAGTGAAAGCCCTACACTGCTGCAGAGGTCATGCTGGGAGTGTGGACTCCATAGCAGTCAACAGCTCTGGAACCAAAGTGAGTAGCCAGTGTGTTGCCACTGTTGTGTTGAGTTAGAATTTAAGCAGCTGAGTAAACATTTTATATATACATATATAGTCCTAGTCATTTTCTAACTTCCATAACAACATAGCCTAAAAAATATTAAGACTTTAGATCCAAAGTAAATACAGTAAGATAGATATATTTATTTGATATACTTCTTCTAGATATCTGTCTTTATTATATTCTATAAGTTATATTTTTAAAATTGGAATAAGCCTGGTGGTGTTGGTACACACCTTTAACAGCGCTCGGGAGGCAGAGGCAGGCAGATCTCTGAGTTTGAGGCCAACCTGGTCTATAGGGTGAGTTCAGGACAACCAGAGTTAGAGAGAGAGAGAGAGAGGGAGAGGGAGGAAAAAAAGAGAGACCAAATAAACTAGTAATTTTTTTAGATGACCTTAAATAATAGTCATTGACAATTTTTTTAATTCATCAAATTTCTTTTTTTTTTTAAGATTTATTTGTTTATTATTGTGCAGTGTTCTGCCTACATGTATGCCTACAGGCCAGAAGAGGACACCAGATCTCATGAGCCACCATGTGGTTGCTGGGAATTGAAATCAGGACCTCTGGAAAAGTAGCCAGTGCTCTTAACCTCTGAGCCATCTCTCCTGCCCTTATCAAATTCTCTTAAAGTGCTGTCATCTATTAAACATCTAGATGATACCCAAGCCTTAGCACACTAAGGCTAATGCCAACGCATATTTTATTATTAGTGTTAGCACACATCTTGTACTTGACCCAAAACTAAATCCTCAGTCTGTTATTTTTGGTCTTTGATGCAGGTTCTCACTGTAGCCCAGGTTGTCCTTCTACTTATGTGGTCCAGTCTGGCCTTATATCCCTTTTGATTGGCCTGCTTCAGCCTCCTCCTGAATACTGGGATTACAAGCATGAGCCACCATGCCCAGTCTGACCTATTCTTTATTCTAACAAAATGGATACAAACCAGAAAGTAATAACCTCATTGCCTTATGAAGGGTTGCAGACCCTCTTAGCATTTGAAAGTTCTCTTTGCTGCATTGGAGAATTCCAGATTTAAGAGTGTTCTGCAACTTTGAGTAATAGAGAATGTTTGATGCACTCAAAGATAAAGGTTTATGATTTATCTTGAGTCACAGAGATTATATGTTGTTGAGTACAGATTTACATGAATTAACCATTCTTGTCTTTTGACTAGGAAGTTAGGCCTATATTTTGCTTATACATGGGCAGAAACTCATCTTCAGTTTGTTAAAAACTCAAGAGAATGGGGGCTGGAGAGATGGCTCAGTGGTTAAGAGCACTGACTGCTCTTCCAAAGGTCCCGAGTTCAATTCCCAGCAACCACATGGTGGCTCATAGCCATCTGTAAAGAGATCTGGTGCCCTCTTCTGGCCTGTAGGCACACATGCAGACAGAATACTGAAAATACTGTATCCATAATAAATAAATCTTTAAAAAAAAAAAAACTCAAGAGAAAATTTGATTGTGATGGCCAAAGAAAAAATGAACAAGGCAGAACAAGAAGGTGATAATACATTTGGGCCTCAACCCTCTGGAATGGAGGCTAAATGTAGCTGGCATACCTCAACCTTTCGTGTGTTTTCAAGTCACTTGTGTTAATTTTGAGCCATATTCCAGTGTTCTGTACATGAAATACTTCTAGTTTTATCCCTTGTCCCTTGCAGGGAAATCTGTTTTCTTTCCCCTATGAACAGTCTAAGTTCATTTCTCAGGATTTGTGTGTAAAGGTGCTAGACGCAGAACAGCCCTAGTAGTACAGTATAGTTAGGTGCCCACTCTGATCTAAGCTGTGTGGTTGCAGTGGAGATCAAGGCCACCGCTTCCAGAAGACTGGGAAGCCAAGTATAATTATCTAGTAGTAAAGATTACAGAGCCTGTGTACAAAGAGATGAAACAAGCAAAGCAAAATTTGGAAAGTAAAAATGGGGGCAAGGGGCAAATAATGTAAGTTATTACATATGCTTTCTCCTTCACATGTATCTAGTTTTGCAGTGGCTCCTGGGATAAGATGCTAAAGATCTGGTCTACAGGTATAAATATTTTTTGTACTTTGACTTATTAATCGTGTTTCTAGAATTTTAGTGAAACTTATTTCTCATATTTGCTGTAAAAATAGACCAAAGTATTTTAGTATATACAAAAAGAAGTGTAGTATGAAGACAAATTAGTATATATATGTTTTAAGTTTTTTGATTCTATTTTGAACTCTACCACCTTTTTATTTGACAGTCACTGATTTGCTACGTATATAACAAATTATCTTAGATCTGAGAATGCACTTAATTTTTAAAAAACCTGGAAGTTATTTTTTGAATAGTTTTGACTCATCTTAAGTCACTTAAAAATGAGTTTTGAGTGACTGGAAAGATGGCTCTGTGATTAAGAGCATTTGCTGCTCTTGCAGAGGACCCAGATTAGCTCACACTCACGTAGCAGCTCACAGCCGTCCTCAGCTCCAGTTTCAGAGGATCTGACACCTCTTCTGGCTCCTGGCACCAGGCACATGTGGTGTGCATACACATAAAGATGTCTTTTTTTTTTTTTTTTTTTTTTGAGGCAGGATCTTTTTATAGCTCCCTTGCTGTCCTGAAGCCTGGCACTAGCCGTGTAAACCATCCTGGCTTGTGATCCTCTTGCCCTGCTTCCCTCATGCTGGGATTGCAGTCATGCACCACCGTACCAGCTTATTTTGAAAACATAGATTAAAAATGCAGTTGGAGAGGACAGATTCTTAAAAGAAGTTAGGAAATGCTAATGGGGAAAAACCCACACACATTATTAAATTTTGAGACCTAACAGCTGTATATGTAAAAAGATCAAAAGACCCCATTACTTCTGATGGAAGTTTACAGTTCAGACCCCAATTAAATCTCACAAAGAAGTTAGTGAGTTCAGAACCAGTTCAATCAACTTTAAATAATTATGTGTAATATGGCAGAAAATATACATATTAGTAGATGTTATAAAAATGCTTAAAGCAAACAATTTTTGAAAAAGAATGTAGTTTAGTTTCAATTGCTTACCTTTTATGAAATGTCTTATTCTTTGATAGTATCAAGTAATGACATACTGTTTGGTACCAGCTATTACTGTTAAGGGATTTATAATCTAGTTAGGAAAAATAAATCAATATTCATGAAAGTTACAAAATATTAAAATCTGTAGTTTTCAGTGTTAGTATTCTACCTGACTAAATGATGTTTATAGCAAAGATCTTTCCAAAATAAAATTTAAAAAAATTAAAAAGCATCCAAGAACCTGGACATATATAACTCATTGATAAAGTACTTGTCTGGCTCTAGCTTGGATCTCTAGCACTACAAAACAACTTTGAAGCATTTTTATTTTTTAAAAAAGGAAATAGTGAGATTAAGCATGACTAAAGTGCATCTTCTGACCTGTGTTTACATTATTTTCTGCATGGCATAAATATATTATAGCCATAGTAACTTAGTCTGAATTGAACAGGAAACGGCTTTTCATCATTCTAATAAAATGGTCCATATTTTTAACAATGAGCATAAAAACAGAGTAAGATTTCAGACTGTTTAATTTTGAGTTTTTTTATTATGCTTTTAAAAAAAATAGTCTTTGTCCATGTTTGATTGTCAATCCAGGAAATGTTTTTACTTCTGCTGCTTCTAAGAATTGAGTCTAGGACTGTGTGTGCTGGTCGGGTGCTTTGCCTGCTACAGTCCTCAGTGGTCAGAGAGAAGGTTTAGATGCAGTTTGTGTTAACCGAAACAACAAGGATATCCATTCCCAACTAAGTCAGAAAAGAAAACTGTATACCCAAAATGTAGGACATTCTTGAAGTTTACCATTAATAGTAACTAAATTTTTCAATATTAAATACTATTCTCTACGATGCAGTTCCTACAGATGAAGAAGATGAAATAGAAGAATCCACAAATCGGCCAAGAAAGAAGCAGAAAACAGAGCAATTGGGACTAACAAGGGTAAGTTTATTTTTGTTTTAATTAAAATAATAATCACATCATTTTCTCCCTTCCCTATCCAACCTCCAACCTTCCATATATACATCCGCCCAAATTCCTGACCTGTTTTATTTCTTTATTATTGTTACCTACATGTGTAGAAATGCATAAATATTATAAATACAACCTACTGAGTCCCTTCAGTGTTTTTTGTATATATAGATTTCAGAACTGACCACTTGGGATTGAATAACCAATTAAGAAGCTCATCTCTGGAAGAAAATATTTCTATCATTCTCACTCTTTAGTTGCCTGTAGTTCTTTGTCTAGGGCGAGGCCCCATAAGATTTCCACCCTCCATGTTAGCATGGCTGGTGATAGTGTCCTTGTCCAGGTCTTGGTTGGGCAGTCCTATTGTTGAGGCTGTCATTGATGAAGCTTCCCTGTCATTTTTAAGAGAGACAATCTCAGATTTCCTGGTTCTCAGGCTTTTAACAATCTTTCTGTCCCCTCTTCTACAATGTTCCCTGAGCCTTAAGTACAGGAGTTGTGTTGTAAATGTATGCATTGGAGCTGGGCATCCCAGGATCAGTTATTTTCTGCATTTGACTAATTGTCGTTTTCTGTAATAGTCTGTCTGTTAAAGTATTTGTGAGCATTGGCTATAGTTGGCTTTGGTCTATTTGATGAAAGTATGATAATTCAGCAAATCTCTTTTTTTAATTATTTTTGTTTTTATGTGCATTGGTATTTTGCCTGTGTAAGGGTGTTGGATCCCCTGGAACTATAGTTACAGACAGTTGTGAGCCACCATGTGGGTCCTGGGAATTGAAGTCCTCTGAGGAGCAGTCCATGCTGAGCTAGCTCCACCTACCTCCGTTTTTATCCTGTTGCTTCAGCCGTGGTTGTGCTTTCTTCCAGCCTGTACTGTTGTTACCTTTTTCCGAGAATTTGGACAGTGTAACATCTGAATCAAGCTTACAGAGTGATGGGGCTATCATGGTACATTTTAATCATGAAATCTTGATTGACAGTAATTATCTGACTGTCTAATACTATTTATTTCATATACTGAAGATAAAATTTATTTTAGAGCTGCTAGTTGTATCCTGAATCACTAGAAATCATTAATGTGAAGTTTAATTCTATTGTTTAGGAGCTAGATCTCATTAAACAAAGTTTGTTTAGTTTGAGACGGACTCTTGCTATGTGGCTTAGGCTAATTTGGAACTCACTGGCTTGGACTGGTCTCAAACTTCAGTAGTTCTTCAGCCTCCTGGTTGCTGGGACTCAAGTATGTGTCACTATACCTGACTTTTTTTTTCCACCTTAAATCTAACTGACAAATAGGGATTGAATATATTTGATGTAATTAAATACACTTATGCATAATGATTATCATATTCAAATTACTATGTTCACACCACCCACGGTACACTAGATCTTCAATTTTTTTCCTTTTATAACAAAGTTTGTGCTCTTTGACTGATATTTTCCCATTTCCACCAAATCTGGCAATGACTAGTCTGCTGTCTGCTTTTATGAGCTTGGCTTTGATCCTGTTTCGATATAAAGGTGTTATGCTATCTAACCTTGTTTATTTAATGGAGAGGAAAATGGTGATTCAGCTATGCCATTGAGCATGTGACCATATGATCATACATTAGTTATTATAGTCATCGTTAACATAAATATAAAAACTGTAGACAATGAGATGGGACTGGAAAATGACCACTAGCTCCAGAGGACCCAGGTTGATTTCTCATTCCCTAATGGCGGCTCTCAATTTCCTGTAACTGCAGATCCAGGGGAACTGATGCACTCTTCTGGCCTCCTCTTGCATCAGGCATGCACATTGTGTACAATGCAGACAGAATACCTATGCACATAAAAAATTAAAATAAGATGGTCACAGATTTTCTCACTGAAATCAGTACAGTTTTGGTTTTATGTTTGTTTGCTTTTAATTAAAGTTTAACATACATTATGAAGCTTACTGGGGAGTGGTGATGCACACCTTTAATCCTAGCACTCAGAAGGCAGAGACAGGTGGATCTCTGAGTTCGAGGCCAACCTGCCTGGTCTTTAGAGTGAGTTCCAGGAAAGCCAGAGCTACACAGAGAAACCCTGTCTTTAAAAAACAAGCATCAATCAATCAATCAATCAATACATTTTTAAAAGCTATGAATGAAGACACATGCTTACAAATTAGAATTTTAAGGAAAGGATTGAATTTAGTGCCTCGTGTATGCTAGACAGATGCTGTGCCAGTGTTCCTTGTTGTTGAATGTTAGGTGTTGTAAGTTTCCCAACTTTGGGTTCCACGTGCCTACAAGTACTTGATATAATCACTTCTTTTAGAGCTATAACTGGCTGACATTATCTAACATACTTAATTTATGCCTCTTTGAAAGTGAGAAGAGTTCGTGTGTAGCCCAAACTGACCTAAAATTTCTGGGCTCAAGCAATCTTTTTGCTGTAACCTCTCCAGTGCCCAAAACTACAAGGCTTGCCTCACTGCATCTAGCTATGTACTAACTTATATAAATTTATTTTAAAATGTATTTATTTTTATGAGTATGGGTGTATGTCTCTATATTATATGCATTCTGTTGCCTGAGGAGGCCAGAAGAAAGCATCAGATCCTCTGGGACTGTGATTATAGACTATGTATGAGTTGTCATGTGGGTGCTGAGAATTGAACCCAGGTCCTCTGGAAGAATAGCCAATGCTCTTAACTGCTGAGCCATCTCTCTATCCCCTGACTTACTTTAAATAAAGTATATCATTTAGAGCTGGGCCTACTGTCACATGCCTATGATCCCAGCACTAGGGAGGTAGAGGCAGGAGAAATGGGAGTTCAAGACCAATTACATAGTGAGGGGCCAGCATTGGGTATATGAAACGCTGTCCAAAAATAGACAAGAAATTATGTAACACTGTACTTTTGTTTATGTGCAGTAGAATATAATTTAAGCCCTAGTTAGCGCTTTGATACTGAATTGTGAATTCCCTGGTCATAATTTTAGCTTGTTCATATGTAGAAATCAGTAGTTTCAAGATTTTCTTTTTCAATTTTTAGTTTATGTGGTATGTGTTACTGTGTGTGTGATATGTGTGTAAGGTCAGAAAACAATTTATGGGAATTGATTCTCCTTCCACCATCTGGGTCCCTTGATTAAACTTAGGTCATCAGCCTTGACAGCTGACACTTATCCACTGAGCCCCTTCATATATAAGATATAGACGTGTGTGTGTGTGATAAAGACAGAAATATCTATCTTGGAGGATCACTATAACAACAAAATAACCCACTGGGCAAAAAATCTGATCTGTGTACTTTGACATTAACATCTCTTTTATTTTGGCAGGATATCATTGTGTATCCTTGGCTGGCCTGGAACACAAAAGATCCGCCTGCCTCTGCCTCCTGAGTGCCGGGGTAAAGGTGTGCGCCACACCTGACCCTTAAAGATTTACTCTTGTTTCAGTTACTCTGTGGTGAAAATGTTTTTCCCTTTTGGGGACCTTTTATTTCTAGACTCCCCTGGTGACCCTCTCTGGCCACACAGAAGCGATTTCCTCGGTGCTGTGGTCAGACACTGAAGAAGTCTGCAGTGCATCTTGGGATCACACAATTAGAGTGTGGGATGTTGAGTCTGGGGGCCTGAAGTCAACTTTGGTAAGACTTAACTTTGGTGTTCCTCTAATTAATATTGATCTTTTCAGTAATAAATTTCTAAAAGGTGGTTACTTTTAGCTCTGTGGTTAAATGTTCTTTCCTTTTATTTTCAGACAGGAAATAAAGTGTTTAATTGTATTTCCTATTCTCCCCTTTGTAAACGTTTGGCCTCTGGAAGCACAGATAGGCATATTAGACTGTGGGATCCCCGAACTAAAGGTATGTTGTATCCAGTGGGAAATATTCAAAAAGATCAGTTTCTATTAAAATTCCCTCGGTGTCTTCTGCTTTTCTTTCCTAAAACCACTGCATTCTCTTTGTCTCCACTCAGATGGTTCTTTGGTGTCGCTGTCCCTCACCTCACACACAGGCTGGGTCACAGCAGTGAAGTGGTCTCCTACCCACGAACAGCAGCTGATTTCAGGCTCTCTGGATAACATTGTCAAGCTGTGGGACACAAGAAGGTAAATGTTGGGACTTGGAAGCACGGTTCAGCAATTAAGAACACTTGCTGTTCTTCCAGAAGACCCGGGTTTGGTTCATACTATCTCATATGCCCAAATACTAATACTCAAAAAAATCGCAGGATTGGGCTGCAGGCTGCAGTAAGTAGAGCATTTGCCTTGCACACATGAGGACCCTGGAACCTAAATAAACAAAGTGAACAGTGTTGGGTATGCTGGTGATCTTAGCACTGGGGAGCTAAGACATGGGAATTCCTGGGGACTTCTAACTAGCTAGCCTAGCCTGCTTGGTCCTGAGGAATAATGCCCAGGGTTACCCTCTTACCTCTGCACATGTGATTCTGTCTACATACGCACACGTGTGCATGTGCACACAATACACTTACAGAATCCAGGAACAAAGGAGTTTTATTCCTGTTAATGTCTCTTTTTACCCCTTTTAAAAATAATGCTCCACCGCTTATAAAATCCATTTTTCTGACCTTTTTAATAAAGCAGGAGGAAAGTGTTTTAATTATCCAGAACTTTAATAGAAATTCTGTTAATGAAAGATGTAATAAAAATATGTATCTTCAAAGATAATTAGATGCCAAAGGAATCTTTTTTATTCACAGGCTAATACTGTGATACTAGTACATACAGAATGTCCATCTTAAAACATAGGCATAACTATAGTGGTATATTATTTGTCTTTTAATAAATAAAACTGGCCTGAGGATCAGAGGGCAGAGCAGCCATACCAGTCAACCATATAGACTAGGGAGTGGTAGGCACACACCTTTAGTCCCAGGACTAAAGCAGATGGATCTCTGAATTCAAGGCCACCGTGGACTACACAAGATTGGATCTGTCTAAAAGAGAAACAGAACTCACACAAAAGTGATCCCAGCACTAGGGAATTGGAGATAGAGTCTCACTGTTTTTGGTCTGAAGTAGAGGTGGGAGGCTGTGGCTGCTTTGCTTTTCTGCTCTTCAGGTTGTTATCCGTGCCACACATAGCTTGCCGTTAGAAGATAGCTTTAGTACTTACTCACTTGTGTGTCTTTTTTTATTTTAACTCTGCCCTCAAACATTTTTATGATACCTTAGAGGGCTTAGGTGAAGACATTTATTGACATTTTAGATGATAATTAACGTAGTTTCTGGTAATAGCAATAAGTATTATGAACAAAGCAGAACAGAGTAAAGCTGCACTTTCACAGGACTTTCTCTTGGAAGAAATTTCAGTAGCAAATCACACATTCTGAAGGTATCACCTGTACATATGGTAGAGAAAACCACAGATAAAATAGGAAGAATCATGGCGTATTGGTAAATTAGCAGCCGGGCCAGTATTAATGAAGGGAACGGGGGTGGCAGAGCATGAGGCAGATAAAGATCAAGGAGGACTTGGCAAGGCTCTGAGGGTTTGATCAAGGGACCAAGAATAGAAGCTGGAAGACCTGTTTATTCAAGAGACAGGTCATGGAAGCATAGAGTATGGTGGGAACACCGGGGACAAGTGATGATGTTCTAGGTATATTTTGAATTTAGGTCTTTGGTAAGATTAATGTCCTGTGGATTAAATGTGGAAACATAAATCAAAGAAAATTGTTGACATTTTCTGCTTGAGTGGCTGGGTGCACAGAAGTACTATGTACTACGCTAAGGAAAAGTGGGGAAATGTGGGGCTAGAGAGACAGCTCGGTGGTTAACAGTATTGCCTACTCTTGCAGAAGACCTGGGTTCAACTCCCAGCATCCATAAGGTGGCCCATAACAATCCAGTCCTGCAGGGGATCCAGATCGGGAACTCTGGCCTCTGTGGTACTGCATGCGTGTGTGGTGCACAGCAAATACCCATACACAGAATAATTAAGTGATTGGTTTATATTTTAGAAAAATAGGTTTATGAGGGAAATTTCAGTTTTGATTTGATTACGTTTGTTGCACATCTGACTTTCATGTATTTAGATATAAATATATCAAACTTAAGGAAAAGATTTGGGATAGAAATATAAAGTATAAAGTGAAATTGACCTTATTGTGAATAAATTTTTGCATTTAAATAGCATTTTTCTTGAGTGTTTGTTATAATAAATCAGTAAAATCCAGTAAAATTTTAAGAGAAGTATTAGTAATTGTGTGTTTGTATTAAAACACTGCATGCATGTAATGTGTATGTTTTCATCTTTAGTTGTAAGGCTCCTCTCTATGATCTGGCTGCTCATGAAGACAAAGTTCTAAGTGTGGACTGGACAGACACAGGGGTAAGAATTTACAAGTTACTTGGTGAAGAAAAAGGTAGGATAGACCTGATGCTTAAAGTTAACAGGCTCGGTTAGTTTGGTTCTGTTTGATCTGGTCTGGTCTGTCCTGTCTGGAACTCACCGTGTAGACACTGCTGGCTTCAGACTCTGAGCTCTGCTGGAATACAGGCTTCTGCTACCACTGCCCGTTTTAAAGTTAGCAGTTTTAATATTTCTGATTTTTTTAAAATTATTTTTACATCTCATACCAAAAAAACTAAAAACAGATTTGCTCTTTAAGAGTAATAAAAGTTGAAGTTTTAAAACATGTCTTTTTTTTCCCCTCTAATGTATCATTTTGTTTCTTTTGGCAATCTTGGGAACTGAACCCCCGGGGCTAGGCAAGTGGACTACTACTTGGCTATATACCCAAATCCCATATGGTCTATAAATTCACTACTTCAAACTGATTGTATCACAATATTTCTAGTTTGAAACACCTGTTATAGAAGGTTTCTTGTGATTTGTTTTTGTGAGGCCAGGTCTTGATAGGTAGCCCTGGCTGACCTCAAGCTAACAGCACCCTCCCTACCTCAGCCTCCTGAGTGCTGGAATTGTAGGTGTGTTTTACATAAGTTTATATAATTAATTCTACATAATAGAAGTGGATTAAAAAACATACTTCAAGAATTACAATCAACCATGCAGTGGTGGTATACACCTTTAATCCCAGCACTTGTGAGGCAGAGGCAGGAGGATCTCTGTGAATTTGAGGCCAACCTGGTCTACAGAATGAGTTCCAGGACAGGCTCCAAAGCTACATAGAGAAACCCTGTCTCAAAAAACAACAACAAAAAAAATTATAATCATTTTTATGTGCATATGTTAGCTCTTGTCCAAGAATTCTTTTAGAATGTAGGTCCTAGAGGTACTTGGTATAATTTACAGTGTACATTTGCCTGAAAATAATACACTCTTTTAAAACATGATTATTTCTAAGTGTGGTAGCTAACACCTGTAATCTCAGTTCTAGGGAGGCTAAAGCAAGAACATTGCTGCCTATCTTCAAAAAGCAAGCGGAGCCTTTGGTTTTTTTTAAAGGCTAAAACTATTTTAGTTTGTTATATACCTTGGCAAATACTTCATTGGAAGTATAATAACATGCTATGTCTCAACCAAAATAATTGATTGCTTTTAATATTTTGTACACTGTATGGTGATGCAGATTGAGTGTTCCTTATCTGAAATGTTTTGGATGTGCAATTTTTTAGATTTTAGAATATTTGCACATTTATGAGATATCTTAGAATGGATCCCAAATCTAAATTTGAACTTCCTTTTTGTTTCTACTGCCTAGCTATTGGCCATTCAGCTTTTTAATTAGACCAATCAGGTGCCTTAGGCGGGCAAAGCAACACATCTTTACATCGTTGAAATTGGCCCAAAGCCTTGTATGTGCTCAGCATGTGCTCTCCCTGTGAGCTACATCTCCAACCTACACTGCAGACCTTTGGATTAGGGATACTCAACCTAGTAGCAGAGATGTTTGTTTGTTTTAATTGATCCCCTTAAATACTGCTTCAAGCTGTGCAGTTTAACATACATCAGATCGTTTGTGTGTGTTACGTGTATGACATCAAAGAAGAAGCAAAACTGGGAAGAAGAGGATATAGATAGATACATATATACACACACACACTTATACATACATATCTTGTGTATATACTCATATATACACACCATGTGAACAATGTCTTGCCAAGCAGTGGTGGCACGTGCCTTTAAGCTCAGCATTTGGAGGCAGCGGCAGGCAGATCTCTGTGAGTTCGCAGATAGCCTGGTGTACAGAGTGAGTTCCAGGACAGCTATGGCTACACAGAAACCCTTTCTCAAAAAAAGCAGAACAAAATGAAAGTTGTATTTAATCATGGCTAGCTACTGTATATTTATATTTACTTTTCTCTCTCTTTTCACACAGCTACTTCTGAGTGGAGGAGCAGACAACAAATTGTATTCCTACAGATATTCACCTACTACTTCCCATGTAGGGGCTTGAACATGAATGATTGTTCAAAAATATTGTTGGGTTTTGTTTCATTTTTTTGTGTCTTACTGTTGTGTCATAAACTATGAATGAAATTGGAGAGGACTGAGGATGTAGCTCAGTTGGGAGAGGGCTTGCCTAAAATGTGCAAAGCCCTGAGTCCTGTCTCTGACACTTGGAAAGAAAGTCGGTGTGGCAGTGCATTCCTGTAACGCCAGGACCTGGGAGGTCAGCAGCAAGAGAATCAGAAGTTCAATGTCATCCACCCCACCCCCCCACTGTATAGTAAACTCAGGCAGCCAGAGTTACATGAGAGTGTCTCAGAAAGAAAGAAGTCAGTGGCTAATCCTCCAATACCACTGTCAGTGCAGAGATAGGAAGCAGCCCTTTAATATGTGTATAATGGTTCATCTTTCATAATAGCTACATTTTACTACCTTTGTCTTTCCTTTTTATAAAACACAATAAATGTGTGGCCTGAATTCTCTACCCTATGCAGACCCCAAAAACTTAATTGAGTTTTAAAGTATACTTTTAGAAATACTGGTTTGAAATTAAAATTTGTCTTCGAAATATAAAAGGATGTATTACAAATACAGTAAGTAACTTTGTCTCTTTTTTTTTTTCTATTTGAAGAAAAACCTAGAAAAGACTGATATTGCACCAGGTAATGGTGGTGCATTTCTTAAATCCCAGCATTCAGGAGGCAGAGGTAGGTGGACCTCTGTGAGCTCCAGGACTGCCAGAACTACTCAAAGAAACTTTGTTTCAGAAAACCATCATAGCACATTCATGTAACCCCAGTACTTAAGAAGTGGAAGCAAGAGCCGTAGGACTGCCAAATCATGGCAGGCTTCATAACTAGTTCAAAATCAGAATCAGGATGAACTACTACTAACACCACTCAGCAACTTCCTAAATTTAAAATTAAGTCGAGTTCCAGGATAGCCAGGGATCCATACAGAGAAATCCTGTCTAGAAAAAAAAGAAAAAAATTATAAGACCTGTCAACTGACCATTAGGCATCTTTGTTTCACTTCTTTAGAATAAAGATGGATAGGGACCTAGCGATGCATTAGGCAAGGTGCTAGTAGGCAAGGCTGCAGAAGTACGTAAGACTGGAACAGTGAAGCATCTAATGGAAAGAGCAGACTGGTACATAAACGTGGTACACATATTCTGTGTAACTTCCTGGGGAAACGAACACATCTGTTCGCTGTGGACAGTGGACCAACTTAGTGAAGCCATGAGTTTATCAGACTTAGTTTAGGAGCATGGGTGACACAGTGACAGTTGAATCATCAAAAGTTTTCTCCAGCATGAGTGACAACGCCCAGACTCATCCCTGGAGCTCTGCAGGCACCTCACCGAACAGTCTCTGCTGCAACTGTTGGCTGCTTTTATAACTTTGGATCTGTCACGAGACTCTTGAGTCTTGTGAGACTTTCAGAAACACATTTGAATTCTGAGGAAACAGCTACACGAGGTGTTAAGAGGCCAAATAAGCTGGTTAGAAGGGATCCCAAACGTAGGGACCGTCTGTTCTATGGGTTCTTGTCTTGCACTCCCAGGAATGGAGTGGGTGTTTACCTAAAGGAAACTTAATTGCCATGCAGGAACAATTCAAACAGGAGAGTAGCAATTGAGACACTTGGTGATAGCAGAATGTCAACTGAGGGACAGGCTCTGCTCTGTGCGCAGGCTGCAGGTGCCAGCCGAACACTAGGAAGCCTTTGGGGTGCCAGACTTGCATTTCAGTCGCAGACAGCAGGTTACTAATGTAATTAAGGCAGGTATCAGAGGCTAGAGTCAAAAGTCACTGGCCGGGTGTCAGATTGGAGGCAGCTGCAAGAATGGATTTCCATCTACAACTAAAGCCTGGAGAGGCTGGGACAGGAAAGTTTCAGGTCCTCCCACTCCTTCCCGGTGTCCCCTCCCCCACGTCCTTCCACTTTGCAGCTGTAGGTCAAGTCCTGGAGGCTGGAGCAAGGCAAACGTCCCAAGGGTCTGTCTCCTTGAAAATAGTATTCTCCAAGAGCTGGCTGACTCCACCAGAGTCTAGTTCTCTCTTCTGAAGAACAATCTGCCAGAACTGAAGCCCTTGTCTGCTCTGATAGCCAGGCAGCCCTGGTGGACTGAATGTGTGTGTGTGTGTGTGTGTGCGCGCGCGCGCGCGCGCGCCTACAAATAATGCGCAAAAGCCCGGCTTAGTAACCCATGCCTTTCATGGCCAACATGGCAAAGGCAAGCGAATCGTTCAAGACCAGTCTGATCTACGTAGTTCCAGGACAGCCAAAGCTACACAGTGAGACCTGTCTTCAAAACAAAATTTAATGCCTAAAATGGGATCAATTAGGGAAGAGCTGTTAACCTGGAGCTGGAGGGGAAGAGCACTGAACAACCTAAATCGAATCAAGCAGGTGGGTTGCTTCCCTACCCTGCCGGGGTTGGAGGGCTGCCAGGAGTTTGTCAGCCTGCAGCTGCTAAGGGTGGGGTGAAGGTAGGGTATTCCAGTCTTCCTGCAGGGCCATCTGTCCATAGGACCTTTCTAGCTTAAATCACAGAGGCCTCCATTACACAGATGGTCAGCACTGCGTGCTACAGCCTTGGTTGTACTAAGTGGCCTCCCACATCAGTTTTCGCCCAGCTTGAGTCTTTTTTCATTTCTCTCACCTGGTGCTTTGCTGACAGCTGGATTCATTCAATATATTGCAATGACTGCCATTAACTCCTTGCCCTGGGCTCCTGGCTGTTTAGAAATCTCTGGAGCCTTAGCAAAAACTGGGGCCTCACCTGCCCATGTCTATATGGCCTAGGAAAGATCCGAGGACATAGTTAATTAACCATGTCCGCCGCCTGCTAATTCGTAATCCTTCGAGGCTTTGGACTTTTAACAGCAAGAAAAGCTACTGACACATGGGGGGGGGGGGGGCAAAAATTGTATTTGCCCATTATTTGAAATTCAAATAGCTGGGTAAGGATCTCAATTCAACTGAAAAGTTTTGATCCAAATCAGCCCTTTATAGAAAAGGTATCTTTTTTTCTGGTTTAAAACTCAAAAATTTTACAGCGAGCACTTTGTAACTAGTATTTTCCTGGACCCTTACCTCACGTAGTTCTCCATGATCCCTCAAGATTAGTTTTGGTATTAGTTACCAAAGGGTAAGCTTTGGGTGTTATCCTTGCTAGCCTATGTATGTGTATATACACACACACACACACAATGAACTCGTGTATTGTACCCTATAGGAAAGTTGAACTTGGGTATCAACTTGAAAGCATTTTGAGTTTATTATTCCCTTTTGCCTCGTTTCCTTTTTTTCCTCATTTCCATTCTTTTCTGAGGTTTTTAGGCTCAGAATTTGCTTTTTACTCTGAAAACTGGTTTGTCATTCACTGTCACACGCGGCACTACAGTTTTGTATAGGGCCTTTTGAAGTCAGTTATTAACAGTTGTCCCTCTTGAAACCTTTTAAAAATGAGGGTTTAAAGTCCCGCGCGAAGCCTTTGCGCGCGCGGAGCACCAACACTTATGTGGCGACCGAGGCGCACAGGCGGCGCGGGGAAGGCGGGGGCTGGGAGGCGAGGGCGAGCCGGGCTTCCACGCACCCACCGTGGCTGTCACCTCCGCGAACTCCTCCAGGGCGGGCGGGAGCTCTCCAGCAGAGACAGGTAAAGCTGGATTTCGCCGGGCGTGGCTTTAAATCTCCCGCCGCCGAAGCCCGCACCTCGGCGCACCCGCGCGGCGGGCGAGCGGGCGGGAGCTTGGCGCCCTCGCCGCCCAGGCCGCGCGGTGACCGCGGCGCCTGTGCGCCTCGGTCGCCACATAAGTGTTGGTGCTCCGCGCGCG